ACATGCATACCAATTTTGTTCAAATTTTTGACATCCAAGTTTTCAGTGTTTTTGACTAAACACTAATAACCATAACCTAACAACAACTGTACATTAGCATTAGCAACACCAAGCTGACATGAGGAGTATAAATTTTCAAAAAGTTTGAGTCCAAGTGTGAATTAAGTTTACTGAAAGACATATCGTATTTAGAGTCAGTACCTTCTTTTATAATATCTGAAGATAACAAATTAAAATATAGCATGCAATGTTTCAGAAATGTAGCTTAAAACAAGCAATACTACAACATTCAGAGGCCATTGCACTGATAATATTATCGAGAAAGTTGCTAATTCATACAGTTCAGTGCAGTTTAACTGCATGATTCAGTGTAGTGTAACTGCATGATTCCCATATTGACGAAAATTTTCTTAACACAGTGTTGTTTGCTTATGATTATGTAGTTTGCTTGTGATTGTGTAGTTTTTGTCCTTGTTGGGATGGTGATAGATGATGCTTTTGCAATTATGTTTCAAGTGACCAAGTTGTAGCAGTGATCTTTGCAGGGTGGTAAATGGAGGTTGTGCAGTCTTGCTTTGATTTTTAACTGTAGTTTATATATTTGTGTCTGCTTGTGCATCGTTTTGGAGCTATGGAGGTTCTAGGGTTTAGGTATAATGGATACGCCGAAATGAAAAATCTCAGATTAAATCTCTTATTAGGTTCTTTCGTTGGTGTTCCTTGCTTAAAAGGATTTAGAAAATGACATCACGATTTGAAACCATTCTCGGTCTCAATTGGCTATCGGGAGTTTTTTTTTTTCGAATGGGTTTGATTAACATTACTTAATGTCAATTCTCTTTTTGACAGGTCATCCTGGAAAAGTTAGTATTATGGCTACGGCTATTTCGCCATTTGCGTCTACGAAAGAGACTACCAACTATGCAAGACTATGCCGCCTCCTGGTGGATGTTGGATCTCAGGTGCTTCGGTCCACTTTTGACAGAATACATCCACCAGCGACTCTACATACAGTTTTGGGAAGTACCTCAGTGCATTACGCCACATTGCAATCACTGTACAAAGGGAGGAAGAAAGTGCTGAATCCCACGCAATGGGGAAAGTTGTACCCTTCTCACGCACCCGTGTCTTCTGCAGCCTTCGATATCACACTTCTAACGGTGCTTCTTAGAAATATCTGTGGTTTGGGCCCTCCTGTCAATGGATGGGATCGTCTTCCCCTAGTTATAAACATAAGCATTGCAGATGACATCGCCAGAGTGAAGTATTACAGGAACACTGTATACGGCCATGCTTCTCAAGCCTCTGTGGATGACAGTAGTTTCAGTGCTTACTGGCAGGAAGTAAGAGAAGCTTTGGTGAGACTGGGAGGAGCTCGTTTTAGAGCTGAAATCGACAATCTTGAGCACAACTGCATGGATCCAGATGTCGAGGAGCATTATCGTGAACTGATGAAACAATGGAAGAAAGACGATGACAGCATCAAAGACAAGCTTGAAGAAATTGAAGGTAAGGAAAACATTGTCCACTGCCAATGTGGATGAATCAGAAGGCTACAAAAGTATATATATTTCAGTTAACACAGCAGTGCAGGCTAGCTCATGAAATTTCATTTGGGTCGGAACTAGTCTTATATTTTGAAGGTATTTTTGCGTCATGTGTGAAGAATGAAGAATTAACCCCAATGTTGAAACTGTGTCTTCATTTGTAGTATTTTGATCTTTTCGTGGGTATACTCGTGTACAACTGCTGGACTGCATTTTTGTGATTTCTAAACGTCTTATTGAGTTTAATCTGTTCGGAATGGACTAGATATTTACATAGGTATCATTGTTTTATCTTTACTTAGACGTGAAGCAGTGATATAAATTTGCTTATGAAAATGCGCATACCTTTTGAAATTTTCAGATTTGCTGGAAAACATGAGAAGCATTATGGAGAGAAACTTCAGAGACACAACTGACAGGAGAGAGATTGATATGAAAGAGGTGAAAGAAAAGCTGACTAGTCTGACGGCCTCAGTTGAAAAAAGCACACAAGAAGGTTAGTTGGTAGAAAGAGCTACCCACTGAAAACAAAAGTTTTGAAGAATGACAGTCCTTTTGAGTACCTGACGCAGCTCTTGTGCATGATGACGGTAATCGCTGGATGTCGGCCAACGCAGCATACTTTGGTAATTTACTGATCTAAGGGTACCCCCCTGCCACCACTTACACTGGCCATACATGAAGATACTCTATAATGTGTGGGATGCCACCGAATGTGGGATATTCTGCCCTGGCTACCTCTCGGATATGATGGTGTTTTGACAGCACTCACACATATGTATGGTCGTAGGCAAGATAGGTGATATAAATTTGCTTATGAAAATGTGTATACCTTTTAAAATAACTCGAGAGACACAATTGACAAGATAGAGATCGAAGTGAAAGAGGTGAAAGAGAAGCTGAGTAGTCTGACGGCCTCAGCTGAAAAAAGCGCACAAGGTTAGTTGGTAGAGAGAGCTACTCACAGCAAAGAAATTATTAAGAGTGACACTGTTTTCTTGGGTACATAACGCAGCTCATATGCATGACGACGGTAATCGCTTGATGTCGGCCAACACAGCATACTTTACTAGTCTAAGAGCACCCTAGTCACCACTGGCACTGGCTTTATGTGAAGATTCTATGTAATGTGTGGGATGCCACGGAATCTGAGATTTTGCCCCTGGCTACCTCTCGGATTTGATGGTGTTTTGACAGCCCTCATACATATGTATCATCGTAAGCGGGATAGTTTATCGTCTTATTTTAGTATTACCTGTCTTATAATGAACTTAACTTCCTAGTAGCGTTAGATGTGACCCGCATATTCCCGAATGAAACCAAATCCTTCCTCCTGGCGTATTGTGGAGTATTCAATTCTACATGGGAAAATAGTTTAATGTGGATCGTCTTGAGTAAAATAGGTTAGAATAAGATGTATGTGGTTATTTTACATTTCCTGAGGAAAAGACTGTCGGCAAAACCTCCCACTTGACCGCAGGCGGGTCTCTAGATTTCTCCAGCTTTGAATTACCGCGGTGTTGGGTAACTCATGATGTTTTCATTTTGGACGGAACCAGTCACATACTTGGAACGTTATTCTAGCGTTGTGTCAAAAATGAAGAATTAACCCAAATGTACACATTGTTTTCATGGGCAATATTTTTTCTGTTCGTGGGTACTCTTTTATAACTGCTGGAGTGCATTTTTGTAATTTCTAAGCATCTTATTGAGTTTGATCTATACGGAATCAACTAGTTATTGATATACGTTCCATTGTTTTGTCTTCGCCTAAACGTGAATCTGTGGTGTAAATGTGCTTATGAAATTGCGCCTATCTTTCTTACATTTCCAGATTCGCGAGAAAAGATGAGACACGACCTCAGAGACACAACTGAGAAGATGGAGATTAAAATGAAGGAGATTTTAGAGACGCTTAGTAGCCTGACGACCACAGTGGAAAAAAGCACAGATGAAGGTTGGTTACTAGAAAGAGCTACTCACACATAAACTGAACTATCAACAGGGATTCTGTTAACACATCTTTTGAGCATGACCACATTATTCGCGTGATGTCAGACAATTTAACATTTTTTTAGGTAATGTATTGTTGTAAGAGCACACCTTGGCTTTTAACCTGCTCTGGCTACAAACGAAGATACTTGGTAATGTGTGGGATGAATGGGATGGTATGGATGTGAGGCTACCTCTCGGTGTTGGATAGTTTTCTGACAGCACTCAAACATATTTAGCTGAGAAGGTTATTGTCTTATACTAATTTTACTTTCGTTGAGGACCTAAGGAGAAATGAGAGGGCGGAAAGGCGTTCTTTGGTTTTTATTAATTAGTTCTTATAATGTCACTTTTACTGACAAAAATCTTTCTCAGACTATCGGCTCCAATGATATCAATATTTATATCTTAGGTTATACTATTAGAAACCGCTGAAGCTGGGCCAAAAGGTTTTTTAGAATGTTGTATAGAATAAAAAGAAAGCACAAAGGAAGGGAAAAGGATCTATTTAGTTAACTTTTAATAAATAAAGTGACTCTCACTCGGACTAAAGATTTCCAATGTTATTCCACGAAAGGGTCTCTTGAGAAAATGAGAAGCGAAATGGCAAAGATGGACAATGAACTTAAAGAAGTGAAGGAAAAGCTGTGTACTTTGGCAACCCCTGTGGGAGAAAGTAAGAATGAAGGTCAGTTGAATTATACAATAAAAGTTATCCTGCTTAAACGCAAATTTAGCCGTAGTTAACAATGTTCTGTATGTAAGAGAGAGATCATCCTATCTTAGAGAGATTCAGTTTTTCAATTTAAACAATCTCTGGAATAGTCTCTGTGGTGTGCTTTCATTCCCTTCAATTATTTAAACTTTCACCCGTAATTAGCCCGGAAACATTACATTTTTATTAGAAGGGAGAACGATATAAAAATAAAGTACAGTTTTGACGAAAATATTGGCATTAAGTTCGGCTCCATGTTCGAAATTAACTGAGCAGGTTCGACGGCATTTATAAGCTAAATGGCCTTTGGTCATTAAATTAACATGAATCATACATTGATACCTTTTCGTCATTGTCCAAGTAATTTCTTTGGCAATGGTGTCGAACTCGTTCACTTATTTAAATTCAGTGCCGAATACCCAGAAGCATTAAATGTGATCCGCATATTTCTGAATAAAGTAACTAAACCCTTCCTTCGCTCATATTGTGGAGTACTCAATTCTACATGGGAAAATAGTTGAATGAGGATCGTCTCGAGTAAAATAGGTTAGAATAAGATATATGTGGTTATTTTACATTTCCTGAGGAAAAGACTGTTGGCAAAACCTTCCACTTCATCGCAGGCGAGCCTCCAGTTGTTTGGTTTTCATTTATTAGTTCGTAGTCTCGCTATATCCCGAAAAAGCCTTGCTCAGATTATGGCTCCAATAATATGAATATCTATCTCCCGTGTAATTTATTTTACAACAGAAATTCACTGTTAGACACCGGTAAAGCCGAACAAACAGAGGAGGTTCAACTGAATTCATAATATAAATGGCTTTTAATCAGTAAGCATGAATCATACACTAAAACCTTTTTGCGTAGTCCTAGTAATTTCTTTGGCAACGCTATCGTTCTCATTCGCATATTTAAATTCAGAGCCGAATACCAGAGAGGTATCATAATTTTCAACGCTGCATTCATTAGATTTCTTACATATTTTGCTACTACTAGGTATTTTTGATCCAACTGAACTTATCAATGGAATTCGCCAGCTGTACAAGACTCGTGAGGGATGGCTCTCACCATTTCCATGGTGTGAAGAGTTTCAGTTTTTTCTTGGAAATATTTTTACAAAGCTCAAAGTGGTCAGAAGAAAGAAAACGAGAAGAGAAATCACTGACGTATTTGTTGACATGTCGTCAATACTAGACCCGTATGAAGAGTGTTCAGCGCCGAGAACGGTGTTGATTGAAGGAGAACCTGGTATGGGAAAAACCACCTATTGTAAAAAGTACGCCTACGACTGGGCCACAAAACAGCAAGCACCTCAGGGCTGCGGCTCAACAGCATTAAAATTGGTATTGTTGCTGAAATGTCGAGATATCCACTCTGACGTTTGGGAAGCCATTGATGATCAGCTGCTGCCCCTAGGCATCGATGAAAAAGTCAAACAACAATTTTTTCAGTTTATTCGTGAAAATCAGTCCAGCATTTTATTCATATTGGATGGATTGGATGAGTTACCATCCGGGAAATTGTCGATGTTTTCCAAATTAATTGAAGGAAGAGAACTCCCTAGATGCCACATAGTTGCAACAGCAAGACAAGAAGCTGGAAAAGAGGTGAGAAAATGTTGTGACGCGCTGCTTCAGATCGAAGGATTCACTGAAAAGCATGTGATAGAATTTGTCACCAAGTACTTTAAAGAAAGGACGGATTTAGCCACCAAGCTCTCGCAACGGATGTCGCGAGATAAAAACCTGACAGAAATAGCGGCCAATCCTCTAAACACAGCACTTCTTTGCCTTTTATGCGAAGAGTTTGAGGGCACACTTCCCGAAAGCAGAGCTCAACTGTACTTGGATATGGTTGAATGTGTTTTGAGAAGATATAGAAAAAAGAAGGGACTATTAGAAAAGATCGAAGACCTGACAAACCATTACAAACCGCAATTGAATTACCTTGGAAAGGTAGCGTTGAATGGTTTACTCGACGATAAGCTGGATTTAAATGAAAGTGAATTGAGAAACCATGCAAAAGACCTGACTGAATTTGGGTTTCTGTCAGTGCAGCCTGGTGGCAGCAAACTGAGACAAACACTGCATTATGCCTTCTTACATAAAAGTTTTCAAGAATTCTTTGCAGCATTCTTCATTTGTTCTCAGATTCAAAGCAAGGAAATGAAACCTGAAGAACTAGTTTCTGATCCAAGGTATTTCGTTGAACTTAAACAAATACTTTTGTTTTCGTGTGGAATTTTGGCCATGAAATGCGATAAACAAGTTGTGGCTCTTGTAAAGAGTTTAACAAATGGAGTCAACAAAAATGAAGGCCGTGGTGCAAAAATTGTATTGGAGGCCATCAACGAATGCAAAAGAGAAAAAAGTGATTTTCACTCGCATTTATCGAAGTCGTTTGGAACTGGTTTGAATCTGACCAATTTGGATTTGTCTTACAATGGTATTAGTGCTGCGGGTGCTACATGTATTGCTGAGGCAATCAAAGTGAACAAGACGCTAACCAATTTGGATTTGTCTTACAATGGTATTAGTGCTGCGGGTGCTACATGTATTGCTGAGGCAATCAAAGTGAACAAGACGCTAACCAATTTGTATTTGTCTGGGAATCGTATTAGTGCTGCGGGTGCTACATGTATTGCTGAGGCAATCAAAGTGAACAAGACGCTAACCAATTTGAATTTGTGTGGGAATTGTATTAGTTCTGCGGGTGCTAGATGTATTGCTAAGGCAATCAAAGTGAACAAGACGCTAACCAATTTGGATTTGTCAAGTAATCGTATTGGTGCTACGGGTGCTACATGTATTGCTGGGGCAATCAATGTGAACAGGACGCTTACCAAATTGGATTTGTCTTACAATGGTATTAATGCTGCGGGTGCTAGATATATTGCTGAGGCAATGAAAGTGAACAAGACGCTAACCAATTTGGATTTGCGAAACAATGGTATTAGTGCTGCGGGTGCTAGATGTATTGCTGAGGCAATCAAAGTGAACAAGACGCTAACGAATTTGTATTTGCGAAACAATGGTATTAGTGCTGCGGGTGCTAGATGTATTGCTGAGGCAATCAAAGTGAACAAGACGCTAACCAAGTTTGATTTGTCTTAGAATGGAATGTCTTGCTGAGGCAATTAAAGCAGGGTTTAAACAACTTTCAAGTAGAAGGGCACTGCCTTTAAAGTAGGCAGGTACCTTGGAAAATTGAGGGCCGAAGGCCCGAACCTCTAGGGGGGTCCGGGGGCACGCTCCCCCGGGAAATTTTTAAAAGAAAAGTCGCCTAGAAATCTTCTTGGAATTATGCATACTTAATCTATTATAATAAAAAAGAATGGTACTCTGGGAGAATTTGTTTATTTCACTGTTGTTTTCGGAGCCTCTTTTTATCCTACAGTTACAAGTTAAAGGCCCATTTCCAACCTTGATGCAACTCGCGCCGCGACCCAACTTCCTGTAACACGAAATTCCCAGATCACTGAAACCCTTCTAAAATCGTCCTTCTCAAGAGCCATCCTGAACATATAGTCAACAGTTTTACGGTAAATACATTCGCCGTTCGTTATTTCACTGTTTCCTTACAGTATTTTGAATTTTGTCTTGAAGAATCCTAAGAAAGTTTTTTAAGTGTCACGCCTGGAGCTCTTCGTACTCTGTGAAGAGTCGGCGAAAAGGACAATATTCAAATTTTTTCACTTTCTAGAAGCGCTTGAGGATTCTAAATGAAGACAAAATACTTCCGATAGAAACTGGTATTTTTCAAAGAGAAATATGGAAAAATATCAGACCGTGACCGGTAGTGTCCGGTGAAAATTTTCTCAGTGTCACGCTTGGATCTCTTCGTACTCTGTGTACAAGGTCAGCGAAACGGAGAAAGTTGGCATTTTTTCACTTTTTAGAAGCGCTTGAGGATTGTAAATGAAGGTAGAATAATTTCTGGTGAAAAATTAGTATATTTCAAAGATAAATATGGAGTTGTTTAAGGACCGTGTCCAGCCGTGTCATTGAAATTTTAAGCGCTTAGATGGCTTCGTACTCTGTATACAGGGTTAGCGAGAAACATCAAGTTCGAAATTTTAGGCTGCCTGGAGACGCTTGAGGATTGTACATAAAGGTAGAACATTTTCATATAAATATTTTTTGGATTTCGAAGAGAAATATGGAAAAATATCGCACTGCCGGACGTTTAATTATTTTAAGTGTAGTCACTTCATTGCAGGAACTCGAACGTCAGCGACACTGACAGTTTGCGTTACAATTCTTATTTGCTGCTTTGCATGGACAACAACCCCGACCACTCTTTCGAGCGCAAGTTCCTCTCCACGGGCAGGAAACTTCAACTGACCCTTGATCCTATTTAACAAGGATGGCAAACTTCAATTAAAAAAAATTGATGAATGAATGAAAACGTGGTGGATCAACATTTTCACCTTCTTTGAAATGCTCGCAAGGATTTTCTCGTTTCTCTTTAGCAACAACCGATCCATAAGCGTTTACTGCCTCGGAATCTACTAAATCAATAGATTCATCCAATTCCATACCGGATTAAAACGTATAGAACTGTTTTAAACATAATTATTTTGATAAGCTCTTCAAATTCATCGGAGAAAAGGCAGAAGGTATTTTGAGACCTGACAAGGTAAAAATAACTGACCAATCAGAGGCGCTATTTAAACAAAAGCGGTGGTTCAAAACGAAAACAAACGAAAGCGTTGGCTCAAGGTTGGAAATGGGCCTTTAACTTCAGCTTATAAAGTGATAAAGTGTGAAACTGACACTTCTTGTAGTTTTTGAAAACTCAAAGTCAGAGCCACAATCAGAATCTTCGGCATCCAAATCTGGCAGCTCCAAGGCTTTGGAGATTTCCTCTACCTCTTCCTCTACAGAATAGAATAACTGGGCGTCATCATCAGTTGCCTGTACACCAACATTATGTACAATTATCACAGGAACATCCTCATTTGCAGATCCTGGACCTGGTGGTGGTGCTGTGTTGAAAACCTTTGGAGGGCGCTTGCGACGAGGTTTAGCTGCCAACCAGGACGAAACAGCCCCCTACTGCTGGGCCATTGATCAAAATGTGAAGAAGAGTGTTAAGCATGTCATTCTGCATTCTACTGCGGAGTCTGGTTAAGTTTTGAGAAGCTTCAAAGCACTCGCTCCTCTCTAAGGCCACACATCTGACACTGAAAGGGAGACCACTGCATTTGCGTAAAGTGAACAAGACGCTAACCAATTTGGGTTTCACTTACGATGCTATTGGTGATGAGAGTGCTACATCGATTGCTGAGGTAATCAAAGTCAACAAGACGCTAACCAATTTGAATTTGTATGGCAATTGTATGAGTGATCCTGATGCTAGTTCTATTGCAGGGACAATTAAAGTCAACAAGACTCTGACCAACTAAGATTTGTATAACAATGGTAACAAATGTGAACAAAACCGTGAACTTCCTGAACCGACTTCTGGAGGAATAATTGAAGGGATTGTACTTTCCCTTTTGTATTTTTTCTTTAAGGTAACTTTTTGTAACTTTTCCTTTTTGTGAACGCATGGCAAAACTCTTGAGGAGCTTTCTTTTAGTTGTCCCTAGTTGCATTTTGATTAGATTACATTCAAGTTGCAAAAGCTACCTTTGTTATATTTTCTTCATTTAAGGTGATGATTATCCTCCTGAGGTATTTTCTAAGACCAACGAATTATCTTCTTTGAGAATTATGTAAAGGGCGCAAACAGAGGGTAGTTATAGATACGGCAAGTAAGTTGTTAATATGAATCCACATGGGCGATTAAACTTTGAAACTATTCCATTCCAGTTTAGTCTCGAGTCTGCTGATTCATCTATCAAATTTTGAAGCCCACTAAATCGTTATTTTTTTCTGTGATCTGTGTCGTTGTCATTTCGTTTCATGCTACCAGATTTCAGCACTACTCATTTTTCTCTATAATTTTGTAAAGGATAATTTGAAAATCGTCGTCGTTTTCCCTTTCTTTTCAGAATATTCTTCTCAATTATAACAGTACATCTCTTTTGAGCATCACCTTCTTAGAGTTGAAATGCATTTTGAACGGAATTATCAGTAGTTATGGCGAAACCATGTAGAAACCAAGCGACCCAACGATTGAGTTGTTTACGATGAGTTCCTATTTATCCGTGGAAGAATAAAATTAACTCAAACTAGTCACCAACGAAACGGTTTGACTTAGGAATAAGACTTCGTTTTTGTTTAATTCAATTTTTTTAAACGAATGAAGTCGTTCAAAACTAAATGAAATCAATAGATGTAGAAAGCCGTGCCAAATTCAAGTTGATTGTCATTTCTTTTCGAAGCGAGAGCATAACTTTCTTGTCTTAGTTTTCACAGGCGCTGATCAAAAATTTCAAACAAAAAGTGCATACCTGAGCTGTTCTTAATTTTTTTTCATCTCTGACTTCAATTCGCGGAAAAGTTTTCAATCACGGTAAAAAGACAATAACAACAAATAACTGTGAATAATACAGTAGGTAAGCGTAGTGATATTTCATTTTGATAAACTTCAACATGAAGCAAGTTTAATTTATTGATGAATTGATTCATGATAAAATTAACAGCGTCCCATTCTTAGAGTTTTCATACAGGATTAAAGAAATGTATCAAATAACAGCCCTTTCGCTGTTTTAAGCCTTGCTCAATTACAAGTGTACTGAGCCCTAAGATCTTAGATCCGGCGCTTGCCAACGATTGTGTTTCCTTTCGTGAATTCAGCATAAATTAAGCGGTAAATTTTCCCAAAATACACCGAATAAACCAAGGGAAGGGACTAGGTTATCCTGGAAATGAGTTCTGAAATAATTCCTGAAATAATTCCTGAAATAATTCCTGAAATAATTCCAAACAGCATTATCTCGTTTATAAGCGAAAAATTTACAAATTTACACAAATCCCAGGCGTTTTGATCGCGAGGGAAAACCAGCGAAATGACGTCCTGAACTTGTTGGGGAGATCGGCAACGGTAACACCGGAAAACGAAATATAGTCGTGTTCAGACTATCCGTGTGCTTTCCCGTTTTGAAATAACGTTCCCGTCCTCTTGCTAAATCACTCTAATCTTCGTTGAAATATCAGGTCATAAATTACGCACAGTGTGGAGAAGATCAAAATTAAAGAATAGAGTTTGGCACTCTAGTCATTACAGACATATCGCGTTGCTTAAAAAGACACATTAACAAGTTGAAATACGTTACAGTGTTCTTTACAAAGCAACATGCTTACACTCTGAAAGAATTCTTATAGCTTCTCCCGAGATTTGCACACAGAACACGATGAACTAGACCCCCTTTCTTAAAATTTGTTTCCATCATTAATGATTTTACGCTGTTATGGACCACAACGGTTTTGTGCAGATGGACCTGATATTTCAACGAAAATTATCAAGAAGACGCCTTCCGGTCACTTTTGTTAACTTTGTAAGTCACGCAAGTTCGGAAGCGTTACGACCGATTACGTTTACGCAACGTTTTAGGGCAGCTCGGCATCCATTCTCAGCAAAAAATAAAAGAAAACTTTTTTCCGACGGGAAGTCGACAGGAGTGCTCCTATCGAGAGCGGCACTTAAGCGCTTCATCCGAAACTGACACTCTTTTCCTTATTTCTTGGTGATTACAAAACCTTTTAACGCTTCGTAAACTGCAGCCCTTTGGATTCTCATATCGAGCCTTGATTTCAGTGACAAGCTCCTCGTAAGTATGTTTCTGTTCGATAAGAAACCGGCGGACAAAGTCTTTATCTAAGACATTTTCCCGCTTGAACAAAAATGGTCAGTTTCAATGCCATAAACCGAAAACAAAAAACTAAAAACGAATCGTAATCCGTTTTCAAAATTCCATACGAAAACGAAAAACGAAAAAGAAACTTAAAATTTTTGTTTTTTTGAGCTACAGAAAAAGAAAAACGGAGAGCATTAAGTGAATTCGAATTCCGTTTCCTTCCTGACGAGGAAAAATGTAAAACGAAAATAGAAGTCCAATTTGCTTTTCCACTGCAAAGAAAAACGAAAAACGAAAATACAATTTGAGTTTCATTTTCCTATGCAATTGAAAATCGGTTGGCACTAAGGTACACGGATTATTGCTCTATCATTGTGCTTGTCTTCGGGAGCTCTTCAATGTACAGTCCCGGCCACACATCAATCCTAGCAGCCAAGATAGTCTCACTAACATTTCTTTCCGAGCTTCGAACAAAAACAGCAATACCAATCCGGTCAGTACAGAGTGTAGACTGCATACCGGGTAAA